ATTTTTAAACAGGCATTGGAGAAGACTTGGCAGGCAGATTTACACTAGGTAAAATTTTTGCCTCCCTTGGCTTTTTAAGGTCCTATTGACTAAACTCTAAAGTATGTGTTTTTTCGTATCTTACATTTAAAGTAAAACTAAATACAAATGTAAGGGGAGTTAGGCTTCATAAAACTGAAAATGTTGGATCTATTTGGCATACTGAAACAAATTAGAAGTAGTTGAGATAGCACTCAGTAAGGTAGCTGTAGTACTAGTGTGATGTGATGCTCTAGTTTACCTGCTTCATGTAGCGTAGTCTCAGTGCTTGCACTGACATTGCATTATCTTGCAATAACAATGAAAAATGCACATGTGGGAGAAATAAACTCTCCAGTTTGAGCCTAAAATAAGGAGGGACATCAGCTTTCCACGGCCTTGTGAGAAGGAAAAAGTGGGAAGCCGAAAAGCAAGGGCTGAAATACCTTCAGTTATCACCACAAAGACTGGAACTTGTGCCAAGATCGGGATCTTGCTGTGAGAGTGGCTGGCCTGATCCATACCAGGTCAATAAAAGAATAATATTTCCATTCCATAGATGAAGACTTATGGGTTGCTCTCCAAATTTGTGGCTGACCTGGAACTTCCAGATTGGCTATGAATTGTGGGTTGTCTACCCACAGAGGTAATCGTAAGTAGAAGTAAATCAGCAACAGCATTAATGTAAGAATTGAATGAATCTGAATGGTAGCTGAGTATTTTGTTTAAGCATTTGCTTCTCCTCTCTCCTGGTGTTCCTTATCCCTAATGTTTCTTAGTTCTTTCCATCTTCCAGGGAAACGTGTCATTTTTGTGGATTCTTGGTAGTTCATCATCTGCAAAGATGGTACAGATTCTAATTATACATTAATGGTATTCATATAAAAAAGTATAAACTTTTAAGATTAACTCAACTTTAAGAGTAGAGACAAAGTTCATACAGTTGAGAATGACTGAAAGATTTAAATACCTCTTTAATCATCCAAATGGATGTCATCTGAGATGAATATCTCCTTACAGAACTGAAGCAAAGGGTCTCTGTGTTTATTACCTGGGAGTGAAATTCATACCTCTAACTTTCTGGTTGAATTAGGACTGAACATGATTCCTGCAGCTCCATTTTCATGTATTTTTCACCATGCCTGCTTCTTTATCTTCTGCTGTTGCCCAAAGGGGCATTCATCCGTAGTTCTACAACTTGAGCTTCTGAGCAATCAGTCTGCTGAGTAGTCAGCAATCTTGAATGCTCTTTCAGACAGGAGTTTTAAATGGAAGTAGGGGAATTGGACAGAAGTTGATTTTTAAGGAAAAATCCTAAAAAGCAGTACTCAAGACAACCACTTAATTCACTCCTGGGTGTGTTTCCAGGATGAAACTCTTGGTTGAACGGGGAATATTTGTCACACAAGCTTCACATTTGGATGGTAGACAATCTTATACATTTCTTAGCTGCTCAGACAATGAAGATCTACTGACACCTTGCCCAGGATTTCCCAACACCTCATGAAGAGATGATGCTAGTTGCCTTCTCCATAGTAGGAGCTCTCTGATTCCATGCAGGCTTTTCAGATAGCAGCGAGGCCATCACCAAGGACTGACAGACCAGCTGCATCCTGTCATGCTTCTAATGGGCTCGCTGATTTTCTCCAGCATGCCATTTTCTTGCTAATAGTGCATCATCTTTACGGGGAAAAACATAATGCTGAGAACATGACACAAATGAATAATTCATCTTCCGTAATGTATTTTCCTTCTTGCTAGTTTAGCAAATCAGAGTTTAGCAGACTTTTATTGTCATTTATTTTCCTTCCATTTTCTTGCTGCTATTTTACACAGAATTACTGATGTCTGGAGAATTGGATGTGGAAAATAACCTCTTGTCTTGCATCCATTTCACCTACACTTTATCCAGGGTTTGGTCACTGAGCTCTGTCCTTTTTTTGCGCCCCGTTTTCCATTGATTAGAAAATCACATGTAGAAGTATTCCAGCAAAGTATTTAATCTTTCCTTGTCCTTCAGGGTGGTTTTGTGTTCCCAGATGGTTTGCAGTGGAGTTGGTGTCCAGTTAAAGCTCTAACCCTGTTCTGCCTTCACAGCTGTTGTCCATACCTTCATTTCCTCTTCCAATGGGAGAAGGCAGCCCTACCTTGAATTTCCTTCTTGACTGCCTAGCTGGACCTGCTTGGCACATCTGGTTAAATTAGATAATTTAAATTAAATAAGATGTACTTATTTATCTGATTAAATAAGATCCACTTATATTCAGTAACTTTTTTTTGACCTTGTAGTATATAGGTCCTTCTAGTCCAGTAGTTTCTCTTATGTGACTGGAGGAAGAGGGAGTGAGGCAGGAAGGCAGCAATTGGCCAGATGAAGCTTGCAGTATGAAATACTGCCTGGATTAAATGGGGCTTAAAATACGGGTGATTGCAATTACATATGTACAACCCCAAGCTGTCACTGGGTTTATTTAATCAGGATCACATAGAGATTTTAATCAAAATAGGGAGCTCATAACGTCAGGCTGGTCATCTGTAACTGACAAGTGTATTTAGTTACAGAGGCCAAAAATGTTCCCTCTGTGTGTGCTGGTTTTACTAAATAATGAGGAGTTTGTTTAAAGCCCTGGCAACACTTTGGCACTGAGTGATATTGCAGACTTGTTCCTTGCCCAGGATTTGCTAATAAGAAGGAGCTCCTTGTTTCAGGGATGCAGAATTGAGGACGTCTATTTTTTTATTGACTTAAAAGGACATAAAAACACACGAAAGCAAAATAAGGAAAAGCTACCCCAACTTTGACTATTTGGCTAAGGTATGGCACAAAAGACAGAAAGAAATCAACGATGTTGGTCATCTCCTTAATCTAAATCATTGTGGCAATTTTAGTTTCTAAGCTTGCTTAAAAGTTACTTAAAAGGCAAGACTATTGGGTATACTTAGAGACAAACTCTTCTTTTAATTTAGCTCAGTCCCATACATCCTTTCTTGCAACTAAATCCCTGAGTTATTAAAGTATCTAAAATCCAGGCCTATGGGGCTTAGCATTTTTCTTGTCTCAAAGGTTTGGACACCGAGTGACTTGTGAGTTGTCATTTTTGTGCTGGCAATAAAAATCAATAAAAATTAAGTCTATGTTCTAATTGCCTTTCAAATAATAAGTTGTTTGTGATGTATAATGATGAGGTTTTAATGAAAAGGAGGTATCAACGTGCATTGCTTGAAACCAGTTTTCTTGGAAAAAATAGTCTTAGCAAGTCAAAACATAATCAGGCTGACATTTTTTTATCAGAAAAATAATTCTGCCTAGAGCTATGGGAACAATGCAGAATAAAAGCAGCAACAAAAGCTTCACTCGTCACACAACTTTGCTCATGTTGGCTATCTGACTTTTTTTTGCTGTCATTAATGGTAGACAACCACTGTAATCAAGCTGTATGAGAGAGCGTTTGTCAGCGTGCAGTCTGTTGGCCAGAGAAAATACGATTAACTAACATTTCAGTTGATCATTTTGTCCATTAGTGGCTTCCTACTGTTGCTTCCCTTTGCAGAGCAGATGCTGACCTGCAAGGCCACTTCTGGATGGGAACTCCCTGTTCCCTTCATCCGCCGGTGCTCACATGCATTTCCCTCATGTTTCTGTGTCCAGGTCTCTTTGAGAAGTCACCCAGGGACATGGGCTAATTCCTGTACAACTCTAAAATTTATGTCAGGTTGTAACTTTTATGACATTTATAGGATCCTTCTGTAAAGGATGTGTCCTTTCTAGTTGCCTTAGTATCTCACAAGAGCAGGATTTGTGCATCCTCTGGGCAGAGGGCAAAGCAAAGCAGTGTGTGGAGCACGGAAAGCTGCAGGAGACTAGAGAGGTTGCTCAGAATCTCGCACGGTTCAATTCAAGTTTTCCAAACCAGGAGGAACATAGAATTCATATGGCTCCCGACACGCATTATTTATATATTGCCTTTAGAAAGCAAAGCAAGCAGACACAAAGAAAGGGGAAAGCAAAAACTGAGCAGGCAGCCAGACCTTCATTGACTTCATGTGGCTGGTCTCCAAGGATATAGCGGAGGTGTCTTCCTTTGGCTTGCGTTATTTTTTGACCACAGAAATATTAAGGGATTTGGCTCCTGTCTCCTGATGAGGCTTCCCTGCCTTTTTCCAAGTGGTCTTTAAGTCTGGTGTGGACTTGGTTGCAGTAGCTTTGCTGTGAAGTTAGGCACGCTTTGCCATGGGACATGGCAGGGTGTGGAATCAGTTTTGGCTCTGATGTGTGACCATGTGAAGGTCCCCAGTGTTCAGATTTACCAATGTCTTCATGCATAGCTAGTGATTTCATTTAAAATATATATCCTGTATTTTGTTGGGTAAAAATTGCAAAATGAGCAGGCGATTTTTGTTTCCGACACACCGCTGATTACGTGAAGCATCAAACTTCTGGCTGAACCCAAGACCAGCATTAATCATCATGATGGTCTTCCCCATTGGGTCGCATAGCAGTGAAGGGTTCTTATGCCAGAGCCTTTTGTACCTGGGATTTGCAAAGTGCACTTGATCTTTGGTTGTAAATACCTCCCCCCTTTCCCTTCCCAATATTATATTGACTGTCATGATTCAGTATCCTTATCCTTAGGAGAGGAAGGGAGAGGTAACACTCTGCTCTTTTCCACCTCACTGCTGTGCTTCATTGTAGGCAGAGGCTTCTCTGCGAGTACTGCATTTAGTGGAGTGCATTTCAGAACTGGTAATGCCTTTTTCTCCCTTTGCTCCCACTCTGAGGACATTGAATCCTTCATACAAATCCGAGGAGCTAAGTTCTTTTCGGTAATGGATTAAACTATTATGGAAGGTTTGGTAAATGCCAGGGGAACCTGTCTATGTGACAGAAGTTTTTGGCACAGCCTTGCTGTGAGTGCATGATAAAAATTTGATATTTTCAGCAAAATTTGCTCAAGCCTCTTGTGATTTCTGTCTCCTAACAGAACCCCCAACGCCGATTGCCCCTCCGGAGCTGCTGGCGGTCGGAGCTACCTACCTGTGGATCAAGCCCAATGCCAACTCCATCATCGGAGACGGGCCCATCATCCTGAAGGAGGTGGAGTATCGGACAACCACTGGGAACTGGGCGGAAACGCACATCGTGGACTCCCCTAACTACAAACTGTGGCACTTGGATCCCGATGTGGAGTACGAGATCCGAGTGCTGCTCACGCGCCCCGGTGAAGGAGGCACAGGGCCCCCGGGACCACCGCTCACAACGAGAACCAAATGTGCAGGTAGGGCTTCTGCTTCCCGCGCTGGGATGAGGCTTGGGCTCATTCACTTCAACCCTCTTCACCGTGGAAGTGTTTCTAGAGAGATTTGAATTTTCAGTGAAATCTGTGCTATGTCCTGGGGTGTGTCACTTGACTTTTTTTTTCCATGGGCAGCTGCTTGATGCTTGGTTTTATGCATGTAGTATGTTTGCTTGCCAGACTTTGGGACACAGGATTTTACTGCTTTCTACTGTAGGGGCCAAGCCAGGGAAGATGTTTTGGCCAATTCTGTAGGAGACAAATGGATGCTAAAACTGCCTCTTGTCAGATTTTTGCCATGTGAGGCACAACAGGTTGTTGTTCTTGAATAGTCAGGCAGCATTAATGAATTGATAGTGCTGTTAATTACATTGAAGTGGTAAGCGTGAAGTTGTTAAAATACATTTTCGTGTCCATTTGGTTCTGATTTCTCTCATTTCTGACAAAGAAAAGGAACTCTGTGCTTTGTCTTTGTATTTTATTAGTTGTCTTTTTAAGATTAGGTCAATTTTGATCTTCCAACTTTCTAAACCACATTTGTCTGTACTGGAAAAACTAAAGGATCGTGTTCCCTCGCTTATTTTTCAAATGTGTTGTCTATTCATGCTGTTTTCATACAATAATCTTTAGGCATTGAGGCAAATCAAGCTCTTTGCGTTGCAAGAGAATGAACTAAGCAATTTGCTGCCTAGCAGTTCTTCCGCCAAGCAGCTGTTGTCTTCTCAAGGTTTGCACTTTGGCAATTTTTGCAAGACTGTTATTGTGATTTGAACAAAGGACAAAGACTGAAGGATTGCTCTCCCCCTTCATTTCCCCCTCATAAATAAGCAGTTTACAGCGAATGGACTGAAGTAGAAGGTAACTTATACAAAAGCTTTCTGGTTCAAGCTACTTTTTCTGAGCAAGTTTGAAGTGTGAAAGGGGCTTAGCATGCACCAAAACCAGCCCAGCTCCTTCCTGGGCTGAGTCTTAGTGCTATATTAGCAATCTTTACACGCTGGCATAACATGGGACCTCCCAGCACCCTCTTCCCCTGCCAAGAGAGGAAGCCCAACAAGGAAAGAGCCCTTGGAGAGTGGGAAGGCAAGTCACTGCTGGTGTCCCTTTTTGCTGCAGGTTATTAAACAGCCAATATCTGGTGTCTTGTTGAGAAAAACCTTTTAAAAAGAAAATATTCATGAGGCTCTGGCCCACAAGTGTGTGTTTTGTTCAGCATTTTGCCCAGCAAAAGAGACTGCACCAAGAGATGCACCTTTTTGCAAACTACTGACAGAGCAGAAAAGGTGTATGTTATGGAGCAGACTTGAGAAGGGCAGAGCATAATATCCTGTGTTCTCCCAGTTGCTTGCAGTCATCTTGCACTCCTTACCTTGGAAAGGAGCAGCAGCTCTATGCTATAATGGACATTAATTTGACTTTGGACATATTGGCTATATGTCCTTGGCTGTAACTGGATATGCCAAGGTATGGGCTGCCCAGGCATCATAGCAGCAGCCCAGCTTGTGTGTCTTAAATATGAAGGTCTCTGGTCTGTAAAGCTGCCTGTATAGCTGTTAGTTAAATTGGGAGTCAAATATGGGCTGTTGGCTCCGTGCTTGATGATGCCTCATCCCAAATTGCTGTGTTTTCTTGCTCTGCTTGGGTACTGACTGTCATCGTGAAGGATGATGTGGAGAATGTGGCCAATGTGGCCAAGCGGTGCCCCTTGCTGCTTCCCAGCCTGATTTCCTAATGAAAAGCGACCCGGAGGGTCGTTCTATTATTGTTAATTGTCACACAGAGCTTGTCGAGGTGGATGATGGCAGCATTTGTGCTTTGTGGAGGGCATGGGCTGAGCGAAGCTGTGATGATCTTGGGCTCAACGTGGAAGAGCCTTACCCATTCCTCCAGTCGTACAGCTTCTTCAAAATGCCAACCCAAATGACAGACAAGAAAATGTAAATCGTTATTCCAATTTTCATGTGTGATGGTAGAACTCCTTCAAAATACTCTATTTCTAGTATAATTACGGGAAACTTTCACAGGCAAGATTTGCAAAAGCGTAGGGAGTTAACAAAGCAACGCTACTGCCTTCATTTTCCACAGTGTACCTAATGAATAGCATCAGTTTAAATTGACTTTATTATTTCTTTTTTTGGTGATGTTTCTTTGTTTTTAATAGTTTCTGGTGAGTGATGATGCTTTTGCTTAAAGGGCCCATAGATGGCAAAGCTGAGTACAGAAGTGATGATGAAGAACATCACCTAGGCTTGAAAAAAAGAGGTATTTCCCAGGCAGACCTTGCAATGCATTCTTGTTCTCAGCTCTGGCTTGGGACAGGGTTTGAGAGGGACGGGACTTGTCTTCTGTGTCGCTCCAAGCTCCAGAGGCTCCTCCATGGAGCTGCCATCGTGTGTGGAGAGGTTCCAAACCACTGGGGATGCTCTGGGCTTTCTACAGGAGGGCACTGTGAGACTTAATTTAGACTTGATCTGTAGAAATGAGGCTGAAATCAAGTCTTGCCTCCTCACTGAGAAAAGCCAGAAAACATGGCAAAATCCATCTCTGCAGAGGAGTGATGGATGATTATTATTTTCTTCCCTGTCATAAAAGGTGACTTGGGCCAGGAAAAGGTGAAGTGACCTTGAGGTCCAAAGTAGTAACCCGTGAGTCAGGGTGAAGAATTGCCCAACAGGGAATGGGGAGAAGAGAGAGCAACTTGCCCAGCAGGGAATGGAGAGGAGAGCAACTGCCTAAGGTTAAGTCCAGAAATAGGTTTGAGGGCAGTTAAAGGAAAGGAAAAACACAAAACTGTAGATTTTCCCCCCAAAATTGGGATTTTCCCCCATATCTTTCCATGGGGGAAAGAACAGGACCAGGTAATGTGTTTGTCCCCAGGTCCTAGTCCTGCTTAGTTCAGCGTCGTCTTACAGCTTTGGGCAAAAGGTTGCTTGGGAAGCTGTGATTTGGGAAGGCCAGGATTTGCTTTTCTTCTCCTGATATTTTTTTTCCTTCTTTTCTTCTTTTCCCGCCTCCTTTTCAGTTGCCAAGCGCAGGAGTCTAGGAAAGGAGTCCCTTTGTCCTCTTACAAATGAGGCCGTTCTCATTTGAAAAGCGTTTACCTTCAAGCTGGAAGAACCTGCATGAAAAGCAAGGCCAAAGAGTAGCATTGAAATGAGTATGAATCATGGGACAGAGCTTTTCTTTATCATTATATTTTTTCTAATAATCCTTAAAGCCAGTTTAAATAATAGCTGGAAAAAACAGCTGATGAACAAGAGCCTCTCAGCTTCTCCAGGTGAAGCACAGCAGGAGAAGGGAGCAGGTTTAGCAACCCCAAGGCTCCATCGGAGGGACCCTGATGGTCTGTTTGATGATCCACCTTAAGGGAGAAAATATTTTGTCCCCATAGGGAGGATTTCCAGTGGTTCCTTTTCGTTTGCAGCCACTTGGTGCGAGAGGGGGTTCTTCAGCGGGAGGATGTCATCAAGCTCCCAGAGAAAGGAGCAGTTGTAAAGATCAATACTCAATTTTTGTTCTTAGTCCAAGGAAATCAAAGTTAGTCTCCAACAATGTGATTGAAACACTGCTCTTAAAAGTAGTCTCCATAAAGCAAGCAGAGAAATGCAAAGAAGTTGTTATTTTCCAAGTTGGCTCAGATGCTGCAGAGGAGCTTTTTCCTCTTAGGTAACAGGAGCAAGGTGTGCTGTTGTCACAGCATCTTGCTAAATTTATGCATAACGAGCAACTCTGGCCAATTTGATTGTGGTCAAGTTTTCATATTTTGGGGAAATATTTTTCTAATATGGCTGCTTTTTTGTGAATATTGGAAAAAGTAGTGTAGTGAAACCACGGAGGTTGTTGTGTGAAAGGCAAGGGCCGAGCAGCCCACAGGTGCAATGTGAGTTAATATGAGCTGGGATGGCAAAAGAGTCAAAAATGCTTCTCGCTGATTGGGCCCTAAGGTGGCAGCTCGTTCACAAAACTGAGCTTGAAGATTCAGGGTTGTTCTGCTGATACCTTCCTTTTTCAAGTCTATAAAACCTATGGAAATAAACACAAACCTGGGCAGAAAAGAGAAAAAGGGAAGGAAAAAAAAATCCTAGACCCCTTAAAACATTAGTGAGAGCACTAAGGAGGTGGCTCATTCAGTGGTTTGGGAGCAGAGCTCCCAGCCAGGGCATGGTGATGCTGGAATCCAATTTATTTCTCCTTGGGAAATCCTTGGGATTTCACCTTGGGACTTCTCTAAGCCTTCTCCTGTAACATCACTATATAACTGACTCTAACAGGGAAGTCAGTGGAGCTTTAAAAACCATCATCTTCTATACCTATAAATGCCTCCGGCTGCAATTGTGGGCTCTCACCTGGTAAAAATGCAGGCACTTTAAAAAAGTCATCTCCGTGGTCAATGGAAACCTTGCCTGGGCTTTGGGTTTTCCTGGGAAGAGCTGCAGGGAGCTGCTTTCCTTAGCTAATGTGAACAGGAACAGGCTGTCCAGGGAGGTTGTGGAGGCTCCTTCTCTGGAGATCTTCCAAACCCACCTGGTTGTGACCAGGTGCTATGGTCTGGTGTCCCTGCTGGCATAGGGGATTTGGACTAGATGATCTCTAGAGGTCCCTTCCAACCTCAACCATTCTGGGATTCTGTGACCCTGGCTCCTGCAGCGCCCGGTGTTGATTTTTGTCTTCTGGGTGAATTCCCTGGATCCCCGGAGCGTGAGGCTGTTTCTCCAGGTGCTGATGCAGCCCCTGGGGAGCACCATGCGGCTCCACGGTTGGACCTGTGCGTCCCGCAAAGCCACAGGCGCCGGGAACCCGTCTTCAACGCGTTTACCCGGTTTCTTCAGCATTTTGTTGAGGATTGAAGCTCTGCTTTCATTCCCCCTCCGTAGGCTGTGACATATCAGCTAGACAGATAAGACTTCAGAGTTAAATATATATGATAGTCCTCCTTTTTGATCCTCGATCCCCAAATTGTGCTTGGAAATGCAGCCTGGCAG